GCGTTAAGGCGTCACAGTTGACATAAATGGCTTCTTTGACCTCAGGAAATCACATGGTGGGGCCAAGTTTCACAATGAGCTCACCCAAAACCCTGGCTGATTGTGACCCACACCCGTTTTCACACCTTGGATCATGTGATTAGGTAGAGGATCATCAGGGGTCCATTGTCCCTCTTTGGGGGGAAACTCCCACAGGGTTTAAATCTGGGACTTTCCACCATTTGACTCTTAGAACTGAAGAAGATTGTCGGATAAGAGGTGAAACGTCTTCAAGCAACTTAAAGAAGTCCAGACGCTTTTCTTTCCAAGCTCCTTAGATCAAGATATCACATATTTGCAAAAGTGCTCAGATGTTTTCAAAGATGTCTGTTACCCACCAGCTCGGGAGCTCGAGGGTCACTAGAGCTGCAGAAAACGGCAAACTCCCGGCACATCATTTTCAGAGCAACGCGGTCTTTCGCTACTCTGGTTAAACTTGATATATAAGTCACTTAGATAACTTGAAAATGTTATTGTTTGGCTTTTTTCAGTGTTTTATTTGTTCGTGAGTAAATCGGTTTGGCTGGATTAAAGTTATTAGATTAGATTAGATAAATTAAAACTTTATTAATCCCTCGGGTGGGTTCCTCCGGGGTTTTCACACAGCTGAATAAACGTCAAACAGAAAACTGATTAAACAGAAGTGTGAGATGGTCGGGAATTTACGCCATCGTCCTGTTATATTTTAGATAGCAAGGAGCAGACGGCCGAGTTTATTAAACTCCAGTGAGACAACGCTGACGCAACTCTGAAGGCTAGACTGTTTGGCCTTTATGTCCGGCCTATTGGACCTTCTGAGGACCCGGCCCACTTAGACCACGAAGGCCGGGTCCTCAGGAGGATACAGCCCATGGTTTTGGACACGCCAATAGTGTCCTTGTTGAATTAACCACTATCCGGATTGATATCTGTTTTTGTGTACACAATGAGCATTTTTGACTGTCTAGACTCTGAAAACTTCATTAGCTCTTATAACCACTACATTATGTTCTTTGTTGTCGCTGTGTGACTCTCTCGTCCACATAAACACACAATGCCCTGAGAGAATTTCTTCAGATTTTAATTTGGACTGTGAAATTACCTTGAAATAAACTTTCGATTTTGGTGATTTTTGTGATCTCTTTCTTAATAGGCCATAGTAGATTATTATTTCACAAATTTGCACAGACATGTTGGTAAACTGCATCTTGGTATTAGTAGTTTTTAACCTGGTGCCTCTGAGCACTGTATTGAAATATTTTATACAGTATGTAAATATTTTACAGAATCCTTGGGTACAATGCAAGCTTAAGACTTTTAACATGAATTCTTAGAAGTACAGCTTTTTAGACAATCTGTGTATGTTTTACTTGACATCAAAATTGTGATGAGCAACTTCTTTTATTTTATTTTCTTATTCGATTCTTTTTATTGATCACTTTTTAATACAAAATTGGCGTAACATACCAAGATAAAGTATTCAAGACTTGGTTGCCTCAAATAGCCTTTGGCAAGATTTCATCGGGATTTACCACTAGGTGTTACCAGAACACCTAATACTTGTTATTAATCTCTGTTTCTCTCCCACAGCATGTTTTCCTTCTCTCACCCCAACTGGTTGCAGCAGATGGCCCCGCCCCTCCCTGAGCCTGGTTCTGCTGGAAGTTTCTTCCTGTTAAAAGGGAGTTTTTCCTTCCCACTGTCACCAAAGTGCTTGCTATAGGGGGTCATATGATTGTTGGGTTTTTCCTCTGTATGTACTATTGTAGAATCTACCTTACAATATAAAGCCTTGAGGCGACTGTTGTTGTGATTTGGTGCTGTATAAACAAAATTGAATTGAGTGTTATACTTTAGCAGAGATACCTCTGTGCACATGCACAACCTTAGGCCTAGTTTATGTAACCCTGGCTTATATTTGTAATATTAATACAGAAAATGTTCCATCTGTAAAACTCTGTTTTACAGTCCACACATTCAACTACTTTTTCTAAAGAAACAGAAAGAAAGAAGACATTTAGACTTTAGGGTCTCTAGATATAAATGCAAAGGTGTTGCAGGTCCAGGATAGGGTACTTGATGAGTTTTTTTT